CCTGATGAATCAGCCAGTGAGCTTGTTGAGCATTTCTTTAAAGTCAATCATCCAGACTACTACCTCACTTACCAGGTTACAACTTTGATGTGACTCATGATGAACTGATGATCCATCTTGGATTCTTGTTTTTGGTTTGATTCATATATTGGTTTAACAAAACAGGCTGTCTACAATGCAAACAAACTATCTGAACTGGTTCAGAAGAGGAAGAAGTGTCAGAACTGGCTTGACTACTATCAAAACAAACACTCTAGGAATCCATCTAAAAGGCCTATGATCAAGGTAACTGAAAGTATATCTTATCTTTCAATGAATCTTGATGTAATTCTTATACTTTCATGAGTCAGGTGGGTTTTCTTGGTTGTTGGGGTGAAGAGGTTGATGCAATCGATCGCTACACCGAAAAAATCGAGGGGCTAACAAGAAAAGTAAAAGCACCTATACCAACTCATTGTGTTTGATAACCTTGCTGCCTTCATAAACACACTTTACTTTTATGTTTTCAGATAAGTGAAGAGAAGGAGAAGGTAACAAGCAGCAAAAAGTCACTAGTCCCTGCAGCTTTCGTATCTTTCAAAAGGCGTTGGGGTGCAGTTGTTTGTGCTCAAACTCAACAGTCAAGGAACCCAACAGAGTGGCTCACAGAGTGGGCTCCTGAGCCAAGAGATATCTACTGGGACAACCTTGCATTGCCTTATGTCCACCTCACTATCAGAAGACTAGTGATAGCTGTTGCTTTCTTCTTCCTCACTTTCTTCTTCATGATCCCTATAGCATTCGTGCAGACACTAGCCAACATTGAAGGCATTGAGAAGGCTGTACCATTCTTGAAACCTCTCATTGAAATGTAATAACAATCTCAAACCTTAACTCTCTCTTCCTTTTGATTCTGGATGTTTCTTGAAATCTTGTTTGTGGACAGGAAAACTATTAAGTCGTTTATCCAAGGCTTTCTTCCTGGTATAGCATTAAAGATCTTCCTCATTGTACTGCCAAGCATACTCATGCTAATGTCGAAATTCGAAGGATTCATAAGTAAATCTTCACTAGAGAGAAGATGTGCAAGCAGGTACTACATGTTCCAGTTCATAAACGTTTTCCTCTGCAGCATAATAGCCGGTACAGCACTTCAACAGCTTAACAGCTTCTTGAATCAATCTGCAACTGAGATCCCAAAGACTATCGGCGTGTCCATACCGATGAAAGCCACTTTCTTTATAACCTACATAATGGTGGACGGATGGGCTGGTGTTGCTGGCGAGATACTAAGGTTAAAGCCATTGATAATCTATCATCTCAAGAACTTCTTCCTTGTGAAAACAGAGAAAGATAGAGAAGAAGCAATGGATCCTGGAACCATAGGGTTCAACACTGGTGAACCACAGATACAACTCTACTTCATTCTTGGTCTTGTTTATGCTGCTGTTAGCCCTATTCTTCTTCCTTTCATCCTTGTCTTCTTCGCCTTAGCCTATGTTGTTTACCGTCATCAGGTCATAAACCCATATCCTAAAATCTCTGTTTTATAATTTCTACTCAATGATTTAACCTTGTTTTCTCGTCTTTTTTGGTTCTATGCAGATTATAAATGTGTATAACCAAGAGTATGAGAGTGCTGGAGCGTTCTGGCCTGATGTTCATAGACGTGTAGTGATTGCTTTGATAGTATCGCAGCTTCTTTTAATGGGTTTACTTAGCACAAAACGAGCTTCTCGTTCGACTCCATTGCTTTTCATACTTCCTGTGTTAACCATAGGGTTCCACAGATTCTGCAAAGGACGTTATGAGCCAGTCTTTGTCAGATACCCATTACAGGTTAGTAGTAGTTACTGTCTCTCTCATTTCTTTGTGTGTTTGGTCTTGTTGATGTGTTTTTTATTTATAGGATGCAATGGTTAAAGATACCTTGGAACGCACGAAAGAACCGAATTTAAACTTGAAAACGTTTCTTCAAAACGCATATGTGCATCCAGTGTTTAAGGAGGCGGATAATGTAAAGGATGAGATGGTTGAGGAGGAGCCGAGGCCTGATAGGACGCCGGATTTGGTGGCTACTAAACGCAGTTCAAAGAGACATACACATACTAGTGGCTCCTCTCTTGAAAATTCTACTTAATAGTGAGATATTTTTGATGAGATTTTGACGGGTGATTTTATAGGTTTATGGAAGAAGGAATTTTCCAAATCAACTGTTTTTTAACCAGATCATCAAATATTTTAAAAATCGATGTACTGTATAGTTGAAGAACTGATTGATCAAAGAGCAATACAAACTGTTAATGGTAAAAGAAATTCAAATTATATGATTTTTATGGTCATTGTTCCGAGATAATTTATATAATACTTATTTTTAAGAGTAATTAAAATAATTATATAAATTATTTTAAAATTCCATACATTTTTAATAAAATTGAAGGTATGGACATATTTATTAGGAACCAAACAGTTCCAAAACAAAATAATCAAATTTCATAAATAATCGCACAAATCCTATATTTCTGGAATAAAAAAAATCAAAACCGAACTGAAACCTAACCGAAAACATATGAGCGTTTGGATATCCGTTTGGATATTTTGGATTTTTGGGTATTCTAGTATAGTGGTTTAGTATATCTTCGGGTATTTCTACACTTAGGTCGACTTCGAGTATTTTTAGTTTGGGTTTGGATATTTCGAGTTGATTCGGATATTTTACTTTGGCAAAATCAAATTATTCATTGCTTAATTTTTTGTATTTAAAAATATCTATTTAATTTAATTGATTATAAATTATTAATAGGACGATTAATAGATTTGGAGACTAAAATTTAAAAACACAATGATACTCATTTGATTGTTGTTTTAAAATTTTGAATATAATTTTTGTTAATGCACGAAATAAGAAATTGACATGCATTTAACTAAGTAATAAATCACTTTGTCCAAAATTATATATATATATATATATATATATATATATATATATATATTATCTGATCTTAAGTCATGTAACATTAATATAAATATCTTTTAAAAAATGAGAGAAGTAAACTAGAATTATATGGTTAAATATACATATGTTTGGTTATCTTTGAATATTCATTCGGGTTTGGTTATTACTCGTTCGAATTCGGATATCCAATATCTCTTAATTTAATATCCGTTCGGGTATTTTCTATTTCGATTCAGATATCAGATTTAGGTTCAAGTTTTTTAGATCGGGTTTGGGTACAGATTCATGTATAGGGAAAAGTACCCAAGCCTAATACTTGATTTTTAGATAACCAAATATACTTGAAATACTAATTATAAGAAAAAATATTAGAAAATATGAATTAGTTGTATATTTTCTTACCTAAAATATTTAAATTATCTGAATTACTGATATTTTTCTCCGAAGAACCAGATATATCTAATAATTAACCTCATAAATCTTAATCATCTAACATATTTATCCACGTTATTTGAAGTTACCCAAAAATCCAAAACCAAAATGAATCGAATTGGACAACATTTGTTTGGCCCAACTATATATCTGAATTGAACCGTCGAAACCAAACTAATGCCTTGACTGGTAGCATTGCGAAATGGCAGAATAACATTTTAAATGTGATTTCACAAAAAAATTTCTAATCAGCAAAATTGCGGATTGAAAAAAAAAACACAGAAACACAAGATTGTGTTTTCTTTGCAAAAAATACAAAGAAAAGTTTTATTAAGTGGAAAAGTAAGTTTTAGTAGATTATTTACCAAATCAACACTTTCATATTATTAAATTATTTTATAATACCATTTTATAATTTTAAATAAAGAGTAATATTTTTAATAATAAATAGTTAAGTTGTAAATAAAATTATAATATACTATAATTTATCCTATAATATTATAAAATATCAATCTGTGTTATATAAAACGTAAGGAAAGTTAAGCTAAATATTTATAATAAGAAGGAAAAATTTTTAGTTATTTTCAAATTTTGTAAATTAATTTACTTATTGATATTCTTTTTTATAATAAAGTGAACACCATATAAAATATTTTAATCAATCTAATTATATTCTACCATTTTGTAAAATTTAAAAAATTTCACAGTTTAATTTATTTTTCCAACTTTACCAACTTTACCAATCACAAACTGAAAAGAAAATTTTTCATATTTTATAATGCATAATCATCTATTATATTAAAAGAGAAGTCATGACTCATTTCATGTGTGATATTTTAGTTTGGACCATCTCTAGAATTATATAAAATTTTACATAGCATTATAATATCTTTTCATATCTTTAATTTTTGTTTGAAATACAAATAAATTGTTTTAATAAAAATTCTAACAAAATATTTTAAAAATATTTTAAAAATCTTTTAGAATCTTTTTTAAGATATAGTTTCAATAATTATTTGATTAAAATTTTAACTATCATAAAATATAATTAAAATTTAATTCATTTTTAATTTATAAACAAAAAATTAAAATTATGTAAAATACTTTTAAAAATATCCCAAAAAAAATTTATGTATTATGTAAGTCCAACTTAATTTATTTTTACATAGATTTCAAATTTAGAAATAAAAAATATAGAAATTGGTAATCTTACATAATAATGTTTTTAAAAATTGTTACAAAAATAAAATTTATAAATTTTATATTAATAATATTATAAGTCACATAAAACTTATTATAAAATTGGATAGCATATATAATCAAATTATACTTATTTACTGATAAATTTTATTATATAATTTTAAATATTTTTGTATTAAAATACCCGCACGGTTGTGCGGGTCGAAATCTAGTTCATTGTTAAAAAAAAAAAAAAAAGCCACCCCTATGAAGTCAAACTGAAAATATATATTTAAATTTCGCAACATCATTTGTTGGTCCTTCAAAACTACATAAAAGACGAAAGCTTGATCAGATCTGAGCTTTGTCGTCGCCATTTGATCGTCGGAGCCATCTGATTGATCAAAAGCAGAGAGAGAGAGAGAGAGAGAGAGAGAGATCGGAAGCGAGGCGAATGGACGAGGTGATGACAGTGGCGGACGCCGGTAGGGCTTTGTACGGATCCTCCTCTCCTCCCTCTCACAATCTGTTCCCTCACAATCTCCCCATCTTCTCCGCTTTTCTCGCGTTGGCTCTTGCTCAGTTCCTCAAAGTTTTCACTAATTGGTCCGTTCAAATCTTTACCCTCTTCTTTGGCTTTTTTGCCCTAATTTGGATTGGATTTTTTAGAATTTAACAAATTTTGGCTCCTTTTATTAAAAAGAATCTTAGATGGACAAAAAAAAGATTCTCAGTTGTTTCATGATGTATGTTAGATTTTCAGGTACAAAGAAAAGAGATGGGACACTAAACTGATGATGAGTTCCGGTGGTATGCCTTCCTCTCACTCCGCTACTGTCACTGCCTTATCTCTCGCCATTGCCCTTGAAGAAGGTGCAGGGTCGCCCGCTTTTGCCATCGCTCTTGTCTTAGCTTGCATTGTGAGTTATTTCTACTCTTCACTTTATGATTACATTGCACTCAATAGACAAAGTAACATCTTACCTTTGGTATGTTTGGGTTGCAGGTAATGTATGATGCCTCTGGGGTCAGGCTTCATGCTGGTCGTCAAGCTGAGGTAAAGCTACATAAAACCTTGTTAATTTTCTCCTTCTCTCTGTTTTCCTTTTATTTTCAAAAAGAGTTAAAAACTATTTTTATATGAATGGAAAATCTCAGCTGCTGAATCAAATTGTTTGTGAGTTTCCTCCGGAGCATCCATTATCCACAGTTAAACCCTTGCGTGAACTGCTCGGCCACACTCCTATCCAGGTTTGCTTAACTCATCACTAATTTTATTTTCATCCTTAAATTTATTAAGACATTTTTACTGTCCATGTCTATCAAAAGTTTTGGTATTCTTGTGCCTTCTTAGACTACTTATGTTCCCTTAATGACTGTGTTATTACATTCTTTTAGAATCGATTAAGCAAGAATGTTAGAAATCAAGTACCTGTATTCAACCTGAGTGTTTGTTGTTGATGTTATGATCACAGTTCACAGAGCTAAGTTATGAGATTGAATTACAGGTTGTGGCCGGGGCCATTTTAGGATGTGTGGTAGCGTATCTGATGAGGAGTACAAGCTAGTTTCTACACAACAACGAAGCCAACATTCTTTTGAAGACCCCTTACGAAGCTGCTATGTATAGATTCATCAGCAATCAAGCTGTGGGGTTGTTTATCGGGAAATTAATGGAAAATTGTGAAATCTGTGTATCATATTTAGAGATTACGTGAAGTGAATTGACTTTTCGTCACTGTTTAAGATATAGTTCTATCTTCTGTGTTTTTCTTTCTTTTGTCAACAAAGTAGTTGTTGTGTTTCAGATGTGTTTTTTTTTTTTTGAATAAATGTAAAATTATATTTAAGTTACATTTGGTGCATCTATTTTTCTTATATACTTCTGATTAATAAATCAATGAAACAATGATCTTAAAGTTCTTTATGGTGGGTCTGAAACATGTCTTGTTCCAAACCAAGTGCGCAAGCCTCTCCCCAAATACGCTTGACCCTTCACTTTTACTGCAGCCTTATAGTTTTATCCACCAGTTTACTCAGAACCGTCTTGAAATGAGTATCTGATGAGAAACATTTATGTAGGAGGAAAACTCGAACCATAAATCATAGCCACAATAGCACTCCACTCAACACACTCTGTATTTATAGATGCGTTCCAAGCCTGCATTTTATCACATGTTTGCATCTTCTCACGTATTGCAATCCAAAGCATAAAGGAATATTTTGGAGTCGGAATTTGGGAACCATACTCCTCGGCTCCAAGAGCAGACTTGTGTACTAGTCCTCAACAGCAACCAAGTCTTCTTTGAAGAGAATTTATTGAGATATTTATCTTCTCTCACATCTCCATTAAGGCAAATCATCCATCTCCTGCAACCCTCCAGCACGCAATTTATCAATCTCATCTTATCATTAAGAATACTCAATCAATGCCTCCTTCTATGAGCAAGGCCGGCTGAAACACCTTAACCCGAAAATCTTTGAAAGGCCTTGAAAAATATTAAGTAAAATACGAATCACGTGGACATAATAAAGTACTGCATCTTTATTAATAAAACCGAGTTTAAATAACGTAAACAATAAAATCAAGGTGCATTAGAAAACTCCCATAAAATAACCCAAGTTCATAATACCCAGTCCCGATAGTTTTCATAGTCCTGCGCTCCGGGCCAAACAATCACTCCTCACCTGCATCACGAAAGAGGCATGAGTATACAAAAACATCAGTAAGAGTGCTCAAAATCGCCCACATCAACCCGTAACATCTAGCAGCCTAGCATTCATTCCATTCTAGCAACCTAATATTCCATTCATTTTTAGCAACCTAACATTATGTTCCTTTCTAGCAACCTAACAGTCCCTAACAATTCATACCATCCTTACACTTAACCATTTTCGTTTAATTAAACATTTACTTTACTTTTTACTCATCCTCGACCCGAAAGTCCCTCATGGCCGAAGCCAACATACTCAACCCGTAGGTCCATCATGGCTGAAGCCGTCATACTCGACCCGTAGGTCCATCATGGCTGAAGCCAACATACTCTACTCGTAGGTCCATCATGGCCGTAGCCAACATACTCGACCCGTAGGTCCATCGTACTTTCCTCAATTACTTCATATCATAATCAGTTTTCTTAAACATTTTTCTTTTAACTTATCATTTACTTTTAGATCAAATCTATGTTTTTTTGCATAAACATTTCCATTCATTTTACTATCAAACAAACAATCTAGCATGTCTTTTATCCTACGAACGCGAAGAACGTTCTTCAGTTCTTGAAATTATTTCGAAGAACAAAGAATGAAATTTCCATATACATCTGTTCATACATCCTAACATAATCGGATCTAATTCACTAATATATATGCTATCGAGTTGCCAAGAATCACATCCTCAACCAGATTGATCTTAAAAGATCGAAGACTCTGAACCTAGCTGTGTTTTTCCGGCGAAAAATCCTGCGATCCTCCTCTCTCGATCCTCCCTTCCCAAACTCTCTTTCGCTAACTGTATTCTTGCTCTGACCTCTCTTTAACTTGTTTTTTGGGTTGTGTTCTAGAATGAGAGCTAAAGCTCTCCTTTTCTACTGCTTTGCGAACTTTCCCACCAAGCCGGATATTTAGTGCTCCTTCCTTATTTGGCTTGGTCAAACTTTGCCCCAATTTTCAGAGAATCTCTACATATCTTTCCTTATATGACTCCCGTGGACCGGACCATTCTTTCGTATGATCCCATCACTTTTACCCGGTCGAACTTACTTTACTTGGAACCCGCGTTCCCCATTTTCCAAACTTTCCTTAGATAGACTTGCAGTCCGTTAGTATTGCTCCTTAATCAGTTCATCGACACATTATCTAAGTCCAAAACGTTTTGGTTACAAGGACATTCATCACTTAGCGAAAAATCAACTTCTTATTCTTTTCATATCGAAAACAGTGTTCCAACATTTATAAAAATAACATCCCCTTACAATAAAACCTCTTATTGAACATAAAACTCCAAAAATGAAAATACTCTGAGAGTGGGTCGTTACAACAACCTTGGGCTAAAGCCCGTAAAACTTGGGCTTTGGGCGCAAGAATATATACAAATATTAGGGGCGCCAGAATATATACAAACTCTATTTTAATTTGGTGGTTTGTGTTCTTGACCACTTATCCAAAAGGTAAGGGTTCGACACCCACTTCCCTTTTCTTAATTTTTTTGATAACGTTTTTCCTTTTCCAATTATATATTTGATTCTCTCTTTCACAGAGGATTGTGGTGACTGCATTTATTAGCCCTTTCATTTTTGTTTCTTTCTAACTCTCATTTCTATTTATCTATGCCTATCTCTTATATATTATTTGCTAAAAGATTTTTCCACATATTATCTCTATAATCAATTTCACAGAAAATATGACATGTCTACTAAAATTGATGACATGGATTATGGCAAAATATGACATCCCCTCTATATTATTTGCAAAGTGATTTTACCACTTGTCATCTCTACAATCAATTTCACAAACAAAAAATATGACATGGCTTATTACATTTATTGGTAAACTTTTTAGATATGGTAATAATGCATACTTTACATTTAGTGTTGATATTTATGTATGATAAAAAATTAAAATATGATAATAACTCATACATCATCTTTAAAATAAATATATTCAAATATAACACTACAAATTTTGAAATATTCTATTTTATTTTTATATTATACTATTTGTAGTAATAAAGTCTTAAAAAATTGCTACAATTTTTTAAAAATATAAATTTTATGATCGTAAAACTATTAGTTTCTTATATATCTACAAATTTTGTAATTATTGTTTAGTTTCATTTTTGATAATTATAAAATTTGATATCACTTTTATTTATTTTATACACTTTTATTGATATTTATTGATGGTAAAAATACTAAAATATGGTAATAACTGACAGATAATCTTTTAATAATATAAATAATCAAATATAACATTACAAATTTCGAAATATTCTATTTTATTTTTTATATTAAACTATTTATGTTACTAAAGTTTTCAAAAATTGTTACAATTTTTGAAAAAATATAAATTTTATTATCGTAAAATTATTAGTTTCTTATATATCTACAATTTGTAAATACTGTTTAGTTTAAATTTTTGATAATTATACAACTTTATATCTTTTTATTAATTTAATACACATTAACTCGATATATTTTAAGCAATATAAATGGATAGAAAAGTCTATTTAAGACTAAAATTTTAAATATATACATATATATTCTTAAATACAATTTTAATAAATAAAATTATTTTATCTTAATTTAATGTTTAACTAAATCAAATTTATATTTAAATATTGGTAAGAAAATAATAAAATCTATAATATTAATTAAATTTATTATTAAATATAATTTAAGCTTAAAAAAATTCTCACTGCACATTGGTGCAGGAAAACACCTAGTATTTATTAAAATTGATGTTACAAAATTTAATTCTGACCCCTCAACCATAACAATTTTCTTTAAAAATAAATAAATATAATTATAAGGTTCTCATATAATTTAAGCTTAAAAAATATGATTAATCTTTTCTTGTTGGAATAGTTGTATCTTCTAAGTCTTATTCTCTTCTTTTTATTGGTAAGTTCTTCTAATATTTATAAACTTTTGAAAATCAATAATATAAACAAGGTGAAATTGATGTATACATGATTTTATCATATGTTTTGTTCTACTATATAGATTATAACTTTGGATTTGTAAAAAAGACTACTAGAAAAGGGATTTTTATTAGAAATTTTTCAAATGAAATTCCAAAAACTGCCAACTTGTTGAAATTTATAACCAAATGAATGATTTTCTAAACACAAAAAAAATTCTTATAGTCAATTCTGATTTCAGTTGCTTATATGATTTAACTAAAACACTTGATTATTTGAAATTAAAAAAAATATTTTCTACAATAAGCAAGAGCGAGTGTCTTGCCCGTTGGAGTTGGCGCGGTATGCTGAGAGCGAGTGTCTTGCCTGGTTCCAGGCAAATGAGCAGGGGGTGGAGGCGACACAAGAGGATGGTAGTACAGACCTGCAGGCCATAAGCCTAGGTGATATTTGTATGCTAGATGGTTCTTGGACCTCTGTTGATCAATTCTCAGGCTGTGGCTGGGATTGGAAGGATAGCATGGGGGGATGCCAGTTAATGGGGATGCGGAACGTGAGTAGACTGGAGTCGGCGTTGCATTCGGAGCTGGAAGCGCTGCGGTGGGCAATGGAGAACATGCTTCAACATTCGCCATGTCAGAGCTTTGGGACGGATAGCAAGGAATTGATAGCAATGCTCAAGGATCCCCATGGATGGCCAAGCTTTTCAACGGAGTTAGAGAGGATCTCGACGCTGAGGATTTGCTTTCCAGAGTTTAAGATATCTTATGTACCTCGATCTTTAAATGTTGTGTCCGATCACCTAGCTAAGACTGCCCGATCCTTTTATCGGGAACTCATGTTTATTGGTTGTTCTATTCCGGTCTGGATTTCCAGACCACCTCAAGCTTGAGTAATAGATCAGCCGTTCGTTGTCAAAAAAAAAAA